TGATTGGATTAAAATAATGTTCTAATTACCCAGCCCGTCACATGTTGTTGTAGATAAAGTTTTAAACTAACGGAAGCCCCGTGACATCACTTTGGTTTTCATTAGAAAGACAACGGAAGCCTTGACTTCATTTTGCAATTGTATAAAAACGATGTCAAGTTAACTTTACCTATCAAATTCATACACGTAGACTTGTTGAAGTGCCTCTTATCCTCTTATTGTTTGACGTAGAAACTTACAAATGAAACTTCATACACCAGAAGATGGTAAAATAAATAGCCAAATATGCAAGCTAAGAATTATGGACCCTAACCAAAAACTCTGCAAACGAAAAGACGTTTCCGATCCAAAGGCCAAACCTACAACCTCATTTCCAGCAGTCACAATGTCTAAGCCAAGAAGTCTACATTCACAATAGGTGTTCCACTTAAATAGGTCAAGCAATAAAACTCATGGCACCTCCAAGAAGTGCCAAGTCGACACCCAATCACGAATAAAGCACCAATTAAGTCTTGCCAAGGCCATAGACGAAAGCAACTGATAGCAAGAGCTGTCGCATTGCCACCCCTCACCTTCTGCTTTTGAATTGCAAATCGTCCGTATCTGCACCGCCGACCTTCGGTCACGCGACCGCGCGATATCGCGAGCCTCACTGGAACTTTCAAGAGAACTTCACTATTTTTCCCTTTTTCACTTCTTGGCCTGTCTTCTTGTCGACCAAAGCATAGCAACAGCTACGCTTTGGCGTCGACTAATTGCGACTTTGGTGAAAGGATTAGGGAGTGTGCATTTGTTTTGAAGTTATTTATTTTGTTTGATGACCTTCTCCAATTTCTCACCTACTGAATTCTTAGCATCTTTAATCATCCATTCAGACCTCCCAAGAGAGAAAACAGCAATTTTATTCCTAAATATTGTTTCTTAAGTAGACCTTAAGGCGTGTAGATCGAAGAACCATCAATCACTATCACCACCATCCTATACGTCAGCCATTATTTATAACCTGTCAAATCAACTTACACGGCACCCTTCCAAGTACATGTCCAATTTGATTACGACACTTCTCTCATTTCAGCAGTATATTGTGAGAGTATAGAGGAATATTCGACACGTTATACCGCCGATATCGTCGTCTTCAAAACGAGAAGCTCAAAACGAAATTTATGGGCGATTTTATACCCCAAGGGAGCCTATTACGTAGCGACCGACCAGCGTAAAGAGAACTCTTGAAGTCGGCACTCCATGTATTTGGGTCAGCCTGAGGATAAATTTAAATGTTGGTTTTTCATTTTAATATTTGAGTTGAGCTGTTAGAATTGTAGATTTTGCTGATGATCGTGTTTCTGTTTAGTAGCAAAGTGTAGTGTTTGGTGGAGAAATGTTTGTCATTCAAAAGATTTTGTTGCTTTTATGTTTAACTTTAAAAAGATGATCTGATTTTATGTTGTGTTTTCGTTTGAAATTCGTTTGAAAGTCAGTAGATCACCATTAACATATTAAAATAACAACAAACTTGCAAGTGAGTAAAACGCACCACGCACGCAGTAAAACAAAAGCTCATGTCCAACACCAAACACGTACTCACATAGTCACCCTACAAACTGGCCGGAATCTTAGTAGAGGTTCCCTCCAAAGCAAAGACTGAGAACTTGGCGTATATTTTCTGAGGACAAAATTACGATCGTGTGATGAGAGGCAGGCGGTGGCTTCATAAATTTATAAAATGGCACCTTCGCCAAACCACGAATTACGGCCACAGAATATTTACGGCCGATTACATAGTTTTAACGACGGTTAAACTCCAAGTTAGAATGTTCGTCGTTCAAAAAAATCTGCGGGTTAATATGGTTGTGTTTTACTTTTTGTGTAATGATTATAAAGTAAAGGATTAAGCGGATTCAAGTGTAATTGCTAATCATGTAGTAGGTACTGAGAACGTATTTGAGTCCCGTTTCGAAATTTTCAGTGACTTGATTCCAAAAATTCAATGAGACTGATGAAAGATTCATAACTGGAAAATTGTTATTAATAACTAGTTAAAAATCAAAGTCCATCTGTACTTAAAAAAAATTAATATCGAAAAATCACAAATTCTAGAGGCCGATGAAGTGTTATTTGTTTACAAGCAGGTGCATAGACAATACAATTACGTACACAGTAATTATCGGTCGAAGAGATATTAAATTAGATTTAGACGAAAGATTGCAAAATATTTCACAATTAACAATGATATGAGATCTATCAACAGTACGTGACTATTGTGTTATCTCTTAAATAGTGAATGGCACGTGCTCTAATACTTTGGTTCATAAGTGTAAACTAATGTACCTGTCACTTTGTCTCAATGATGTCATTAGTTCACGCGACGCGCGAGAGGTTAAGCCATTTCTTCTTATCAATTTCATTTCTATATAACAAAAACCGTAAATACAGCAGCTGATCGTGAAGTCATGGACGCGATATCGTGGCGTCGTGGCCCAATTTACTACTTCTCAATAACTCCTAGTAGAATCCTCCTGAATAATCGGGGAATAACAATACCTCGTATTTTGTTATGATTTCTTTCACAAGGTCATATATAAGATAAGAACCACTATTTTTCACGTCACATACCTACACGAGTGACAATCCACGTGCTAGACCAAAGATAACTATCAAAACATATTTTCCCAATTATAAATAATGTTACAATCATAAATAACTTGATAATCTAAGATCAGTATTAAAACAGATTAAAGTCAACTATCAAAACTAAGATCCGACAATTTCAGTAATATCACGATCATATCAAGAAAATAGGTTAAACTCAGTTTAAAGTTCTCGTTAATGGAGCGCAGTGTAATCCGGCCTTAATAACCGTTCTAATGAGTTTTCATTCTTTCCTCATTTCCGTGGTCGAGAGTATTTCCGAGCCTCCGAGTATCTAGGATAAACTGTGAATATTGCGTTGGAAAGAGACAGAGGAATTTCTTAAGATGATTTTGTTTGAGGAGAGAGTGAGACAACAAAAGGTCCGGGATTGTTCGGATTCCTCAAATTCAAATGCCTTTTCCTAGGAATGTGTGGTGTGTGAGCGTTTGTTCAATTCATGTCATTCGTTCGTAACGTGTTTAGTTTGTGAGTGAATGTTTGGAGTTGCGTTTAAAGCAATTGCAGTTTGAATCTTTGGAGTCGAATTAAGATAGGAAGTATTTTGGGTAAAATTCATTTAAAATAGTAGTGTAGTGGTCGGGTAAGGGTGACCCTTGAGTTTAAGGTTTTGTAGATCTGACCCCCAAGTAGGGTAATTATGAATAATTTGGAATGCTCTTAGTGTGAAAATGTCGTGGTGGCCCCGAGGTTTAAGACGCCCGCTTCTCATGCATGAGGGTGCGGGTTCGAAATCTACCAACGGCAAGTACCATGTGTGACTTTTTCCGAGTTATATGTACTTTCTAAGATTATTGAGACACCACTGATAAACGGTGAAGGAAAACATCGTGAGGAAACCTGGGCTTCTAATTTCAAATTGTAAGTTTGTAATCGCCAACCCGCATTTAGCAAGCGTGGTGATTAATGCTCAAACCTTCTCCGTGTGAGAAGAAGCTTTGCTCAGCAGTGGGCATTTATAGGCTGTTGATAATGATGATGATAGTGTGAAGAGGGCTCCACAAAGATCTTTCACGTTGGAATAGAAGAAAGAAAAGAAATGCAATGCCTGTTTGGCATTAGACCAAATATAAAAAAAATTGTGAACATTCCTTCCTGCAAACAAGACCTAAATTAACCACACTAACCTAACTACATCATATGTCTAAAGATTATAAGAGCAAACATTTTTCCCCCAGTAGGGGTTTCCGTGACAAAATATACTAGCATATAACAAGAAAGATGTTATTATATTAAAAACTTAGCCGGCGCTTTTTAAGCACGAGACATGTCAAGTTGAGATAACATAGTGCAGGCCCAGCCCGATAGTGATGAGATGAACTTATCGATAAATATAACAAAAGTGATGTCACCTGATTTTTATTAATGATTTGTAAATACGTAATTGTATTATCGATGATTGTTTACTACTTTATTTCAGGTGCGTAGTAGTTTTATATCTTGTATCTCATCAAAACAATAGCATAGAATGATACTTTCAATTAGCACAAAACTTGAGTTGGCCTTCCATCCATATTTTGACAATACAAATTTAAATATTCTAGTTTACGATATGATTAAAATTAAACTTAATACTCACATTAGTTTAAATTAATTAAACAAGTGAATTTATTTCTGCAAATAGGCTACAAGGCAGCACTTTTACACGTCATTTTTCAAGCGAACGTTATGGTCGATATTCCCTAATTGACTACTCTGAGTAAATAATTTCTTGTCAGAGTTCAACTAATGAAATGCATATCAGTGGTTAAAGTTTTCCTAAATACAGTCAACAGAACGTTGCGCTCTATAGTTTTGACAAATAAAAGTATCGATACTTCACACATCCCATCACTACAGTGAACTCCATAAAGTCCCAGCACGCTTGTGCCCGTGCCGGGACATACAAACGACTTAATTATATTTTTCTCTGCCCATACTCACGACAAGCATCATATTCAACCCTTATATGTATGTATATGTTACTGAAACTTATCTATGCAGTATATTTTAACGTACCCTAATTTTAAAAAATTGGGTTGCTAGAATTTACTGGCGATTTGATGCTACTTTTGTTTCGAAATAAGAAGTTGTTTACTTCGCTCCCGCTTAGACCAGTTTGTATGACTGTATTACTTGAAGTCTCGGTTTCAATTTTCGAATTCGATAAAGTATTCCGGGAGTTTCGACTTTGAAGTTTGTACGATGATGCTCGTAGTCTAGCGGTCGACTACCACAGCAGGAGTTTAATGATTGCAAATGGTTATAATTATAGAAGTCCGAGCATGAACTACAAAAAATACACTAGTTAGTAGTACACCATCAGTATAGTGAACTCAAGGTATAACAATATGTTGGTATTATGACGTCACCTGGCACTATCTCCGGGTCGCCATGCCCGCTGCTAGCGGCGCGTGTGCAGCAGGGAACACCACTTCACATCCTATTCGTCACCACCTGCAACAAATATAATACAACATTCAATAGAAGAATATATAACAATGGTCACAATACAATCAAAATAAATGGTATATCCAATATTTTGCCTATTAAACTTTTTTATACTGGTTACATTCACCATTTCGACAGGAGCAGAGCTTTACTAGCCCTTTAGGTTTTTTTTTTTTTTTAAGGGGGAAAATCATCGAATGACTGCTGTGAGTTAATAACTCATAAGTACATAGGCACTGATAATTAATTTTGATTGACCAATTTACATTTTCTAAAACAAAATCATCACAAGCAATGTCCTACATAACATAACATAACATCACG